ATGGATCTCTTCCAATCAGTTGGCCAGATAGTTGTCTTCCAAATTTCTTGGCAGAGATGAGTGAGTACCTCCTATGCCACCTCACTTTCTTGAAAGATTTCAATTTTTATTCCATCAACTCCTGGTGCCTCGTTCTTTGCCAATTCCTTCAATGCACCTTGGACTTCTTCCTTCAGTATCATTGGCTCTTGATTATATGCTACCTCTTGAAACATTTGAACCTCAACCATTTCCTTTTGGTACAGTGATTCTGTGTATTCATTCCTTCCATCTTCTTTTGATGTTTCTGCATCATTCAACAATTTGCCCAGTGAATCCTTCATTAACAAAAACTGAGATTTGAATTTTTTCTTCAGTTCCCTCAACTTGAAAAATGCTGAGCGTGTTCTTCCTTTTTGGTTTTCTGACTCCAGATCTTTGCACATTTTGTTGTAATATTTGGCTTTATCTTCTCAAGCTGATCTTTGAAATTTTGTGCTCAGCTCTTGGACATGCTCATTTCTTCCATTTACTGGAAGAGCAAGTTTCTGTTTCTCTTCTTACATCAATTTTTACCTTTTCCTTCTTTCTTGTCTTCTTAATGACTTTCTGCTTTCTACCTGTATGATGTTCTTGATGTTATCCCACAACTCTTCTGGTCTTTGGTCTTTAATCTTTAATGTGTCAAATCTGTTTTTGAAATGATCTCTAAATTCATGTGGGATATATTCAAGGTCATATTTTGGCTCTCATGGACTTATTTTCATTTTTTTCAGCTTCAATTTTAATTTGCATATGAGCAATTGATGGTCTGGTCCACAATCTGCCCCTGACCTTGTTTTCACTGATGATATGGATTTTTTCTATAGTCTCTTTCCGCAGATGTCGTCGATTTGATATCTATATAATCCATCTGGTGAGGTCCATGTGTATAGTCGTCTTTTATGCTGTCTAAAAAAGGTATTTGAAATGAACAAATCATTGATTTTTCAGAATTCTATCATGCGATCTCTAGCATCATTTCTATCACCTAGTTCATATTTTCCAACTACTGATCCTTCCTCTTTGCTCCCAACCTTTGTATTCCAATCACCAGTAATGATCAATACATCTTGATTGCATGTTTGATCAATTTCAGATTCAAGAAGTTGATAGAATTCTTCTATTTTATCCTCACTGGCTTTAGTGATTGGGGCATAAATATGAATAATAGTGGTATTAACTTCCCTGTAGGTGCATGGATATTATCCCATCACAGACAGCTTTGTACCACCACACATCTGTCAGTTTGTTGTACTGTTGTGGCTTGTGAGTTGCTGTGATTCTGGAAGCTATGCCACCGGTATTGTAAATACCAGTAGGGTGTCCAGTAGTGGACAAGTTTCAGATGAGCCTCCAGGCAAAGAAAGACTAGGAACAAGGAATGACAAACTACTTCTGAATATTTAGTCCCTGAAAACCTTTTGAATAGCAGAGAAACACTTGTAGATATATTGCCGCAAAATGAGCCCCTCAGATTGGAAGGCACTCAAAATGCGTCTGGGGAAGAGCTGCCTCCTTAAAGTAGAGTTGACCGTGATGACACCTCCTTAAAGTAGTAAAGCCTATGGGAGTAAAGCCCTTGGGACCTTAATTTGCTGATGGGGCACAACTCAAACTTAAGAGAAACACCTGTAAATATCCATTAATACTTGGAACATGGAATATATGAAGTATGAATCTAGGAAAATTAGAAATTGCCAAAAATGAAATGGAGTGCATAAACATCGATATCTTAGGAATTAGTGGGCTAAAATGAACTGGTATTGGCCATTTTGAATCTGACAACCACACGGTTTACTATGCTGGGAATGACAAATTGAAGAGGAATGGTGTTGCTTTTATTGTTCCTTTTATAGACCTCTCTATTGTTTAGCTGACAATTGAGCCTTGAATGTGAGTTGACTTCTAGACCTGAAGGGTAATTAAGGGTCTTAGTCTCAGAGGGTCCCACCAGTAAGCCTGGTATTTTTTATAATTTTGATTTTTTCCCCACATTTTGCTCTCACTCAATACAGGAACTTCTAAAGTGATCCCTTTGGGAGCATTTGGTGGTGGTATCTGGGTACCGTTTTGTTCTTTTGTTCTCAGGGTCATGGAGGCTGATGTTCCTGTGGTCCATTCGTCCATTGGACTAATTATTTCCATGTGTCCTTGATTTTCATTACTCTTCTTTCCTCCATACAGAGAGAAACCAATATTTGCATCTTAGCTTGTTGTTCAGAGCTTTTAAGACCCCAGTCACTGCCCACAAAAGTAGGATGCAGAGCATTGTCTTTGTGAACTCTGTTTTGCCAATTGGCCTAGGTATCCCCTGAGACTATGGTCCTGAGCTCACAGGCCCAGTGACTCATTTCTTAAAAGTGTTTGATATCAAAGAGCTAGATAAAATATGTGCTGCAGAGTTGTGAAATATTAAAAAGCTATCTCTTCAAAGAATTGTGTGAGTATTCCTTTATTATGTATAAAACAAATTAAGAAAGGAAAATGCATTATTTTATTTAATGGAAGATATAGAGCACATGTTTTATGTAGTTTATATATCTTATTCCTTAAATCCTTAAATTATAAAATACTAAAAGGAAATAGACATGTTAAAGAATTTACTTTTATGTTTCAATATGTAAGCAGTATTACTGAAATCCTGTGATAATTTAGGAAAACATATTTTAAGAAACCAGATAATCTATGTTTTCTTTTCACAGAAAATGTGGATGTAAACTGCCATTTAAATAATGCCTGTATTGCTGCAAATATTAATAAAACTTTAACAAAAGTAAGTACATTCGTGGAAAAAAACTTCTACTTTAATATTTTTGTTTCAGTTAACGTATTTCCATTATTATATTATCGGAATAGTAGCAAGCAGTTGAACTTCATGTAGAGGTGAAATTGCTTATGGATAGGGATCTAAGTATTTGAGTAGCAGATAGAATTAACTTGAAAATCCCCAAAGTATTGAATAAGACTTTTAGATACTTAATTTATTTTACTTTTTCATTATATGATACAATGGAAAATCATTTTCAACATGTAAAGAAAGTTGATGAATAAAATAGAAATTTTTTCTTTGATTTCAGGTCCCTTCCTACATTTTAAGGAGTAAAAGTAGTTAAATGCACCAGGATTTTGTACTTCAAACTGAATATTTCAAAGAGTAAATAAAGTAGTACAATTATAAAATTATTATTATGTGATTCAAAACCTAAATCTCAATATGACTATTCAAATATCAGCTAATGGAAATTTCCACTTTGCCATAATGTAAAGAAATTATTTTGGTTGATAAAAATCTAATAAAATAAACTAGATTATGATTGAATGTTTTATATTAAAGATATAGAGTAACTTTAGAAACTCTTTTTTTTAGTTGTGTAATACTCTAAATTGTTTTTCTTTTTCTGGGTTCATTTTTGCTCAGATTAGATCCATAGGAGAACCTGTGGCTTTGCTACAAGAAGTCTATAGAAATTCTGTGAAAGATCTTTCACCAATGAATATCATTACATACATAGAAATATTAGCTGAATCATCCCCATTTCTGGGTTATATGATTAGTACTAACTCAGCCAAGGACGCTCTTTGTAATTCAACTCTTACTGTAAGTATGCTAAGCTTTAACTCTTAATATAACTGAGCTTTAAAATTGTCCTTGAATCTATGATTAGTGCAAAATTCCAACACTTTATGATATGCAATTTTATTTCAACAGGAATTTGTGAAAACCATGAATAATTTTGTTCAAAAGGATACATTCATTGTTTGGAACAAGTTATCCACAAATAGTAGGAGAACTCATCTAACAAAACTGATCCACACTGCTGAACAAGTAACTTTAAACATATCTCACAACTTTCAAAAGACCACTCAGTTAGATGCTAACTCAAGTGATGTAGGTAAGAAACCAATGACAATTTCAAAGTAATGGTGTTTCTCAAATGAGCCATTTTAAAATGGAGATAGAAGGCATTTAAAATAATCTTGATTATATTGATTTTTAAAAAAATTCTCAATGAAGAAATAGTTGGTGATGAATATCACATGAGTGCTATAAGTGTGGTAAGAGTAAAAGTGATTAATATATAACTGCTTCCTTCTTTCTGTCATCTCTACCTTTTCCTGTTTCTGAATTGTTTAGCATTTAAATGCTCATGCATATATTATATCCTTCTCATTTTGAATCAGTCATGTTTTGATGTGGGATCCACCTTAACCAGTAATAGTTACTTGCAGATACTCTAGATGTCCTGTACTTAAGTTCATCTTTAGGAATCCATTGCCCTTTAATAATATGAAGAAATCATCATAATAAATTATAATGTTGTCTGCTTTATGCAATCTCATAAGTAGAACATTTAGAACCTGGGATCAGTTTAATAATTCCTATACATTTCTGAAAAAAAAAAAAAGGTATGTTTCTGAAATAATCATTGCATTCAGTTTTATTGTATTTTTGTGGTGTTATCTTGCAATACAACAAAGATAATACCAAAATCTTTATCAAATCAAGATTTACTGGTTAATCAAAAGTAAGATGGCAAGCTTGAGAGTAGTATATAGGAGTCCTACATTTATTGATGATACTGTTGCATGAAAAAGGTGAAAATCCACCAGTAAGTGAATCACAACTCAAGAATTTAATGCATTAAATTTCCATATAGTAAATGATATTATAGACACTGTCTTCTAAAATAAGCTTGTCTTTGCTTTATTAATTATTATTTATAGCTAATTTGAGTGCATATTAATTTTATCTTTATTATAGGTAATTCAGTAAAGATCAAATTAAACCATGAGTAATATGTTGTTGTTGTTGTTAAGGGACCTCGAGTTGGTTCCAACTCATAGAGACCTCGTTTAGGGTTTCCTGGGAGAGGCTGGTGAGCTTGAACAGTCGACCTTTTGGTTCAAACCAACCTTCCAGTCCAGTGCATTAGCGTGACGTGCCAAGCCAGGAGCCCATGAATGATATGATAAATCCCAAAATTAAAATTTGAGTCAGGTTTTTAAGATTTAAATTATAATGTCCAAAAATGTTCAGAATATCTTCATTCATCCTACCATACATAAAAAGTTTAAGTACAATAATGATGGATAATATTGTCATTAATGAAATAAACACATTGATTAAACAAATATCAAAGAATTTATTTCCATGGTTTGTTTCAGCTCTTGAAGTTTTCTTTTTTGATTCATATCAAATGCAGCATATTCATCCCCAGATGAGCATGGATGGAAATTACATAAAGATATTCCCAAAGAAAAAAACAGCGTATGATTCAAATGGTAGGATTTTGACAATATCTTATATACAATACTTTAATTAATTTGCAGTTAAGATAAACTATATATCCGTGATACCGTATAAAAATATTTGAGGTTTATATGTATAAAATTTTCATCATTATTTTCATGATTTTATTTCTGTTACAAATACCCAAAATAATTTTTTAGCTAATAATGTCTTGATTATTTTTCTCTTACTTTCAAGCTCTATAACTGACTGATATTTTGAAGATTCTTATAAAAATGTACAAAATAACTTAATTTTTTTCTCCTTATGCACCATTGGCTAGATGGTACAATTTGCATACAATTCTTTTTAATCTTTAGTCATTTTTCATATTTTTCATTGTGACAGTAAGTTTGTGAGTATGTGAAGAAGAAATACATAGAGAGATAATGTTAAAAAAGACAGAAAGTTATTGCCCAGGCTTGTGACTTACCTTCAATTTGTCATCTTAGTCCTTGAACAGGAAACTGTTCAACTCAATTTGAGACTGGATTTAATAAGATGAGAAAACACTATTACTGACAAACAATTTAATAATTACATAATTTATGGATAATGAAACTGAGCTACAGAGAAATTAAGGAACTTTCCTTCTTACATATCCTCAGATAATACAGAACCAATATTAGAACAGAGAGTTAAACAAATGAACCCTGAATAGCTTCCCCTTATTCTTTTGCTTGTTTGAGGAAAGCAAGTAGGTACTATTTTAACCAAACCATTTATCTGCTCTCTTAACTACAGTGTCTGCTGATAGTAGATTTCTCTTGCTAGTGGTTGTTATGTCAATTCAGGAAAAATATGTATCACCCAGGCAATATTTGAATTGCATTTTTTTCTTCAAAAACTACAAGGACAACCATAAATACAAATGAAAAAAATATGCAAAGCAGAATAAAGATTGTCTTATGTATAAACACATTTCACAAAAGATGCATTGTTCATAATTGCTGTACATTCATCCTCAGAAAAATGTGATTTTTGCAGTTATAGAGCACTGATGTGAAATTTTCCCCAATCTTTTGTTGTTGCCCTGTCCATTCTTTTTATCATATGCTATAAAAATGCAAGAAACATTAGTTCAGCCATAAAACAAGACAAAAACAATAAAGCCATATCATGGCTTTTATCTGATTACAACATATTCTAGTTAACCAAATAAATATGTAATATTTAGAAGCAAATCCAAAGACTATGTTAAGTAAAACTGTGGAAATTTCAAAGACAATCTGAATAGGACTTAGCAACTGGAAATAAAAGCATTGAAAATACCTATCATAGTGACAGATGCTGAAATTGTAACAGAATTGGTATTTCAAAGAGATCCTTCTGACTGAATGGTAGCTTTGTTATATTTCATAATCCACATGAAAACTCTTTGAAAGGGATAGTCATTTCAACACTTGAGAAAGCAAAGTGAGAACAGTTTTTTCCTTCAAGGTTATATCTAAAAATAAGGGCAAGTCTAGCAGACTGATCAAACACCTCAGTGATGTCCACACATTATTATTCATCTAGTGAAAACTATATTAGTGAGAAACACTTATTAATGAAAATCTGCATAGTTCTATTAGTAGCAAAATCAAGAAGGTTCATGGAGGTACAGGTGAATTTATAATCTTTTTAATTGACTGAATTAGAAGAACGTGGTTGTTATGTGCTGTCGAATCAGTTCTGACTCATAGAGAGTAGCTGGTGGGTTTGAACTGCTAACTTTGTGGTTCACAGTCCAGTGCTGATCCTACAGCACCACACCAGGAGTGCAAATTAGAAGAATAAGGGGTAGGAACTGAGACTGTGCACAGATTTAATGTTTTGTACTATATGATGGAAAGATCATAAACTTTTGTTATGTATTTGTTTTAAAATTACTTATAAAATTGGGATAATATTTAAATGGCAAAATAGAGCAGTGCATGAATCCCCATCGAGATGGAGTATTTTTGTTAATCTCAAATGAAAATAACAATAAAACAATTTGGGAATAATGAATCCCTAAGGAGGTATAATTTTTTCCAGATTCTATTTTTGTATGCTCTCCAGAATTTAGTACATTGGTTTTTAGTAAGTAAATGCTTAAATATGTAATTTCTTCATTGAGTTGAAGGCTACAATACACCTCCTTAGGAAAGATATAAGAACATTAACAGACACTAGAGAGAAGAGAAGTAAAAAAAGGACTAGAATAAACATTATAAAGAAGTAAACATGAGTAAAGTTTGATGATGCTGCCATGGAAAATTACCCTGCAAGTTTTAGTCTCTAATCTATTGCCATTGAGTAAATTTGGACTCATAGAAAATCTACAAGACACAGTAGAACAGCTCCATAGATTGTCCGAAGCTATACATCTTTACAGATCATTTCTCACAGGGAGTGGCTGGCAGGTTCAGACCACTGTTAGCAGCCCAACACTTAACACATTGCACCACTAGGGCCCCTCTTTAGTCTCTATTGAATAGAAAACAGTTTTACTGAAATAATGTATAAAATTGTTTGTTGTTATTTTGTTAAATGACATCTAGTCGGTTCCAACTGATAGCAAACCTGTATAGGGTTTCCGAGTCTTCAAGTTTCCTTGGAAACAGAAAGTCTCGTTTTTCTCCTGCATAAAACTGATTAGAAAAGTTAGAAATTATATCAGGCCTAGAACTAGTGAGAAATCATGGGACTTGAAAGAGAGTCAGAATGGTGAAACTGGACACATATTGAACCAACATTCAGAAAGAAGTAATAAAGGATTTTGAAACACATTATACATTATTCACCTCATTTTGTCACAGTCAAAAACTGATATTAGATCAATATTTTCCTTTACAAAGTATAGGTGTGATCAGTAGATTTTTTTTTTTTAACTCACATTCTTTTTTTGAAGCTTCATTTAATTATGACTGTCACCTACTAGGACCTTCTGAGAAATCAATTTCATGTACTGGTTCTATCCTCTGGACCAGATCAGGTTAAGTGAACAGTTTTACAGGCCCCTCTTCAGGCACTGATTTGCCACCTCTTGGAATCATCATAATTTCACTGGCCTTAATCTTGTTATAAGGGAGTCTGGTTACAAATTGGGCTGTGAACCCTAAGTTAGCAGTTCGAAACTACCAGCTGTTCCATGGGAGAAAGATGAGGCTTTCTGCTCCAGTAAAAATCTATAGCCTTGGAAACCCTGTACAGGGTCGCTATGAGTTGGAACCGACTCCACGGCACATCACAACAACAATCTTGTTATAGTAACTTTAATGTATCTCTGTGTTATAAGTTTTCTAGACTAGCAGTTCAGAAACGAACAAACAAAAATTTCTGTGCAGTTTATGTGAATTTCAACAAAGCTCCTAGTACTGTCTCTTATGATGCCTTTCAGATTAAGATTCAATAACATGAACAGTGACACACTTGGGCAACTTCTAGCTCATGTAGTCATATCTGAAGAATATTATTTACTAGTGTGATAACTGACTCTATGGATCATTCCAGTTTTGTATAACAGTATTCTGTTTTATTTGATATTACCAATATTTTTACATATGATTTTGATTAATTTATACCTATTAAATTATTTTCCGCTGTCAAAAATTTGAAAGGACAACTGGATAGGACAGAACTCTTCCTTAGTTATCCCAGTGGTCTGAAGAAAACAGAATCTTTCTAGCTAATAAGTGTAACAATCATAGTTTATTATTTAAAATTAGGAAATAACGTTTTTCTATTATATTGTCTAATAAGCAGATACAGTGAGTATTGCTACCCTCTTTTTATAATTGGGGAATATAAAATTCTAATATTTAATTGATGTAGGTAGGATCAGTGGCTGAAATCAGAATTTATAAGTTTAAATCATGAATGAAAAGCTCTAAATTTAGTGTCCATAATTCTTTACTGGAATTACAAAGGAATAAGACTCAACTTAACCACAGGAATTTTAACAGATCTAAGCACAACATTGTGCACACAGTTAATATCAGTGAAATTTAGCTGCCCCCAAAACTAAGACAATTTGTGATTCCATTAATAGAGATGTAGTGTTCAGATTTAAATACAGAATAACCACACAGTACTCTTTGCTGATAAGGTTGCATTTCTAGTACTGAGTTTTGTGTTGATGTACTACATTTGTTGAGTGTTTGTGTGTGGGGAGGAGCATAGATAAATGTCTACCCTGTAAGGCAGTATTTTCTTACCCAGAAACTAAATGTCATCAGTATTAACTAGAATCTGTTTCATTGGACTTGAGGTTGAACTCAGTGACATCTCACAACTGTTTCAACTCTAAATTTTAAAACAAAAACAAAACTTAGAGGCATAATGTTTATTATAATGGTTTATTTTATGTATTGATTTTTATTTAAAAAGTGTTTTTCCTGTAAGAGAAGACATTTTATTATATTGAGCTGATAAAGTGTTATTTTTCTTTTCAACTCTAAACATTTTAATAGTAAAAGTCTATGATAATTTTCTCCCAGTATCTTTCTAATTCATACATTTAACATGGAAGTAATAACTCTGCATTTTATCTTAGAAGTTAATACATGTCACACCCTAGTTCTCAATCAGGTTTTGAGTGTGAATTTATCTAGGAATATTTTTCTCCTAAAAATAATTTGTGCAAAAGAGTTGCCACAATCTATGATCATTTTTTGAATTGATAGAGTTTAATGATTATAAAACTTAATGTTGGTTGATGATGTAAACGTGAACTCATTGTGACCCAATTTTCAGGTATGTGGGGTTTTTTTAATGGTGCCCTTACTGTGTGTGTCTTACCTTTATATCAAGAGGGTAAATAGAGTAAATACTTTTTTGTTTAATAAGAATTTTACTGAATACCTCTATTTGATTGATAGGAAATGTTGCAGTTTCATTTTTATATTATAAAAGTATTGGTCCCTTGCTTTCATCATCTGACAACTTAATGGAACCTCAAAGTCTTGATCATTTTGAAGAGGGAGAAAGAGTCATTTCTTCAGTAATTTCTGTGTCAATTAGTTCAAATCCACCCACATTTTATGAACTTGAAAATATTGCATTTACATTAAGTCACACAAAGGTAAGTTTTTGATTTTCTGATGGTTGGTAGTACAATTATGATATATTCAGAGAATTTTGTTGTATACCTTTCAGTATATATGAACTCTTGAGTTAAAAAAGAAGATCCAAAATTGAGATAAAGGAGTAATGTTTCAACTAATTTTCCCTAGAAATGTCTTTGTACTTTAAGTGCTCTTTAAGCTTTCTAATCAATACAAAAGAATTTCTTATATTTGACTCTCCAATACTAAGTTGTATATTTGGCTTTACTTTTTAAGTACCTTGTTTCTTCTGAAAATCTTCCTTACTTTCAGTGATTGAGTTTCTTTTTTTAAAGTGTTAAAGTGTAGCATCAAAGAGGTAAGTGCCCTTGCATAATAAGAGAGTGTGGCACTGTAAGATAAGCATTGGACTGCAAACCACAAGTTTGGTGGTTCAAACATACCAGTCACTTCTCAGAAACCCTATACAGAGTCGCTATGTATCAGAACTAACTCAACAACAAGTAATAACAGCAATGAAGAAGATATTTGATTAAAAATTGTCAATTAAAATAAAATTTCAGGGATTTCTATATTTATTTTAATTAGTAGTTTATCTTAGAAGCTTAAGAATCACTTAAAGTACAAAAATATTTTATAGAGAAATTAGCTAAGACCACTTTATTCTTATTTTTATTCTGAATCTTTGTTTTTTCAAATTTATGTAAAAACTATGCAACAAAAACATTATAATAGCTAGGTAATATTTGTTTATTTTTATATATCAAAAGATGAAAAGGGAAATTTGAAATTGTATGTAGCTCTCTTCATGTTCATAGCTCATGGTTTCTTGGGCTATCAAATATTATTTCAGTAAATGCTTAAACTATCTCAAGTTTCACTTGGCGAATCTTGAAATTGACTTATTGTATTTGTATGTTTACCAAGGAAAATGAAAAAAATATATATACAGAAATAGAAATTAAAAAATATCATACACTTACACAAAATATAAATGTAAATGAAGACATCTAATGTTGGAAGTTCTGGTGTGGAACCTCAGGATAAGCAGTGGACTACTAAATGCAAGGTTAGCAGTTAAAAAACTCACCAACCACTCCTCAAAAACCCTATGAGTCGCTATGAGTCAGAACCTACTTGATGACACTTAAAAACAACAACAAGGTAGGGAGAAATTCAATGGATAGCCTTTACTGTGGAGTGGATTCCAGCTCCTGGTAACCCCATATGTGCACAGTACAAATGCCCCATGTTGTTGTTGTCAGGTGCCATCGAGTCGGAACCAACTCAT